AGGGAGGTTCTCTAGGCAGCTCAGGCATGGCAACAAATTCCATGTCACTGGTAATCTGGAAAACCGTTAATCCCATCTTGCTGTGAACCGCATCGTTGTACGCCATTTCAGCAAAGGGTAGCAAAGCTGACCAGTTGTCTTGCTGATAGTCCACAAAACACCGGATGTACTCTGTTCCCACTGCTGTCTGGGAGTTCCATGATTAAGTCCATTGCGACCTCTTCCCATGGTCGGTTAGGGCTGGCCACTCATTGTAGTAGCCCAGGAGACTTCTCCGGCAGTGGTTTCATCGTTGCACAAGTAGCACAGCTTTTTACGTAATCTTCCACCTCCGATTCCATCTTTGGTCACCAAAATTGATGCCTGGCGAGGTGGAGCATTTTTAGGAATCCAAAGTGGCCTCCTAATTCCGCCTCATGACTTCGCTGTAGAACTTCCAGCCTCAATCCCGCGGGGACGTACAGTTTGGACCCTTTCCAGGCTAATACATTTCCCATTGTTAGGATTTCCTGGTTGTCGTTGAGCCACTGGTCTGTTGGGAGCACCAATTCCATAGCTGTCATCAGCTTATCCTGGCTTCCATTACTGTAATACTGCGGTTTTCTCGACAAAACATCCCCCAACAAGGGTTTTGGCACTTGTTGGACCCTTGGGTTTTTGTCTCTGTTGCAGGTGCTGCAGGTTCTGGGCTCTTGGATTCAATCATCACTGGCTGGCCCTTTTCCTCCACCGGTAGTAGTGGCCCAAATGCAATCATAAATTTCTTACCACTGTCTTCCCACTTTATCGTAGGCTTCCACTTGTCAAGCCATGCAAGCCCCAAGATTATTTTGTCTGACATCTCTGGAGCCACAATGAATCTGAGAAACTCATAGTGGTGGCCCACTTGTAACTTCATTAGTTTAGTGACTAGTGTGGCTTGGGCCCCTCCAATTAGCGTTCCATTTACCTGCTCAACCTGAATGGGACAGGCTAGGACTCTTCGTCACCTTAGGTTGGGGATCCTCTTCCAGAGGTTGTTGGCCCAGATGACTCTTCTGTGGTGGCATCTGGGGTCTTCTCTTTACTGCCATGATGATTGGTACACATGTTTGTTCTTCGGCATTTTCCTCCTCCGAGGCCTCCCCCTTGGTAGGACACTTCATCACCTTAAGTTGGGGATCCTCTTCCAGAGGTTGTTTGCCATTTTCCTCCCCTGAAGCCTCCCCCTTGGTAGGACTCTTCGTCACCTTAAGTTGGGGATCCTCTTCTAGAGGTTGTTGGCCCAGATGACTATTTTCTGGTGGCATCTGGGGCCTTCTCTTTACCACCGTGGNAGATGAGTAGCTATATAAATTCAGTCAATCACACCCGACTCAGTGACAACCGATTAATTAACTTAGTACCACATATTCCTAGGATTGTTCTCTTTTTCGCAACAGAATCGTAGAATCTGACAGAATATTTTCATGTTTTGAATTCTATAAATTAAGAAAGGCAAAAAAAGGTAATAACTGTTCATTAGAATTTCTCAGACAGAATTAAAACACGGTGGCTGTTATCAGTAAAAGATGAAACATGGAAAAATGTATGCATATTCTTAGATTCATGTGAGGCTTTTAAGGTTAAAAAAGTGATTGCCGTACAACATTTTATGTAATTTGTTAATGGAATTAAACTGAGTTACCTCCACTTCTGTTTATTTTTATTTTAAACTGGAAAGTTAGAGAGAGCTCTAATGCTCATTTTCATCCTATCTTAAATTAAAAAAGAATGAGATGGGTAAATAATTGAACAGAAGGCTCATCCTCTACCATCTGTCTGTCTCCTTATTTAATTTAATATTCTATTTTAAACTCTCTTGTATCCTTTTTAGACTTCGTTCCTGTCACTTTTATGCTTCCGGCTGATTATAATTTATTTGTTGAAGAATTCCGAAAAAACCCTTCCAGTACATGGATTATGAAACCTTGTGGAAAAGCTCAAGGGAAAGGAATTTTTCTCATCAATAAGCTTTCCCAAATTAAAAAATGGTCTCGAGACAGCAAAACATCTACGTAAGTTTCTTGGGGAGGGGGAGGGAATATTTTTGGTTGATATTGTGCCTCATTGTACCACATTTGATTAAATAAATTCTATTCCAGATTTAGCCTTCATCAGGAACTAATTTATAACTTCTTTAAAAACCTGATAAAGTTTTATGGTAAAACTTTTCAGACACTTTTATATGTTAAACCTAAAATAAATTTACACTTTACGCTTATGTTGCGGCACTGAGTTTGTCTTAATTTAATTAGTTTGTCGTAAAGACTTGGTTTTAAAAAAGGAAGACTTTCTACAAAGGAAATAGAGCTGAGGTGGTGCAGTGGTTAGAGTGCAGTACTGCACTCTACTTCAGCTGACTGATAGCTGTAGTTCGGCAGTTCAAATCTCACCGGCTCAAGGTTGACTCAGCCTTCCATTCTTCCGAGGTTGGTAAAATGAGGACCCAGATTGTTGCAAAACGCTTAGAGAGGGCTGTAAAAGCACTATAAAGCGGTATATAAGTACTATTGCTAAATAGGAAATTTGCTTAGGAAACATTAAATTAAAACATATGGGGAAAATTATTAAATGTATATCCTTTTGCCAGATGCAGATAAATACTCCCATGCTTGAAGGGCAGTTCTCTGTATTCATGGCACTTGAAACTGATTGCTACTTAGGACATATTTAGGAACAAATACATAGATTGAGAAATGTGTTTGAAATTTATAATGCACAATCATAGCAAAAAGGTTTACTATAGAATCCTGGAGGTCTCAAAACCTAGTTTCCCAAAACTTTCTGAGTTTTCACACCATAGCCCTGCCTCCTGTTTTCGATCAGAAGCCTGTTAGTCCCAGGCAGGGATGGGCTGCTACAGGTTCACCCAGGTTCAGGAGAACCAGTAGCTAACATTACAGCTGGTTCGGAGAACCTCCAAATCCCACCCCTGTCTGGCCCCGCCCCGCCTTCCCTTCCAGTAGTCTCCATGCGGCCTGTTTTGGATGCGAGGTAAGTGCAGGGCCCACGCGGAGGCTTGGGGATAGTGGGATACGCCTGGTACGCCCGGTATGGGTGGACCAGTGCCTGCTGGGAGCACTAGGTACCGTTCCGGTATGGTGCTCCGGAGGGCCCGCCCTCCCTCCTCACCTGTATTTGAGTCAATCGGGGCTTTTGCGCATGCATGGAGCATACGGTTCCTATGTGATGCTCCACCAAGCAGCTGGAGCGTCATGGGCAATAAGTACGCATACGTGTGCCGCACATGTGCACGTGGTGGATGCCGGGCCCCGTTGCAGCATACCGATTGCAACCGGATCCGGAACCCACTACTGTTCGGGGAGGGGGAAAAACTGGCCTCCCAAAAGGTTGGAAACGGGGCCCAGAGGGCCTCCAGCACCTGGGGGAAGCAGTTGTTACCCTCCCAGAAAAAAAGAGAGAAAATATAACAAAACTACCATTAAATATCCAAAACACAAAGATTCAGTAATGAAAGAAATCAATTACTTTGTGGCATCCTTTTCTTTCCTGAAAGGAAAAGAAAATTTATTTTCTTTTTAATAAGATTGGAGGGGAGATGGGGATGGATGAAAAGATGACTCATTCCCCATGTTGTCTGTGTGCTGCGTTTCCATGCTATCTTGAGAAAAAAAGGAAGCACTTTACAATGCAGTAAGGCAGCAAGCTAGCAGCAAACTTATATATGGAGGCTTACGTACAATTTTGCCCGAGGTTGAAAACCATCATGGCTCTGGCAGAAAAAGAAAACTACATCTACATGGCTTTGCCTTGATTACATTTAAAAGAAGAAAACTAATTTAATAAACTGAAATAATGAAATATAAATATCTTTAGGTTTGTATCTCAGTCCACCAAAGAAGCCTACGTGATTTCCCTGTATATCAGCAATCCACTTCTGATTGGTGGGAAGAAATTTGATCTACGCTTGTATGTATTAGTATCTACGTACCGTCCTTTGAGGTGCTATATGTAAGTTCCGTTTTTATTGAATTGAATTTATTGCATTTATATGCCGTTCTATCTGCTGGGTGTGGGTGGGGAATGGTAGAATTGTACAGTTGAAAGGGATGTGGTGGCTCAGTGGCTAAGATGCTGAGCTTGTCGATCAGAAGGCGCCCCGTAACGGAGTGAGCTCCTGTTACTTGTCCCAGCTTCTGCCAACCTAGCAGTTCGAAAGCACATAAAAAATGCAAGTAGAAAAATAGGGATCACCTTTGGTGGGAAAGTAACAGCACTCGGTGCACCTTTGGCGTTTAGTCATGCTGGCCACATGACCACGGAGATGTCTTCGAACAGCACTGGCTCTTTGACTTTGAAACGGAGATGAGCACCACATGAAGTTAAACATGTTACAAACTCATATTAAATAGGGAATAAAAGAAAGATCACAGTAACTGCTGTCAAAGAAGCTGTCTCTTTAAGAATATTTAAATTATTATATATCTTTTCTTTGTATTTAAGGTATAAACTTGGGTTTTGCCGATTTTGCACAGTAAAATATACCCCAAGTACAAGCGAATTGGATAACATGTTTGTCCATCTTACAAATGTTGCCATTCAGAAACATGGGGTAAGATCCTTTTATAATGCAGATCTAAATTATTTGGAATTAATTAAAACGTGCAACAAAAATAAAGTTGCTCACTTATATTCAGAATATCATCCCTTGTGTATGTAATTCACAATGAGTCATGAAAAATATTAAAAAACATCAAAACTACTAGAGAGCATTTCACCAAGGCTGCTGTTGGCAACAAAATCTTGAGGCACCGGAGATAATA